TCATTGGGCCAAACTATAATTCCTAACAATTACACTGACATCTTGCTGTCTTCTTTCTCTTGCAGGGCCTCCCTCTGACGGTGCCATGGAGCGTCTGCTGCTGTGTATCTTGGTGCTGCTCAGCAGCTTGCTGGCCCGAGCCCAAGTGTGCCCCAAGCGTTGCATGTGCCAGAACCTCTCGCCGTCGTTGGCTATCCTTTGCACCAAGACAGGCCTCCTCTTTGTGCCCACGGTGATTGACCGCCGTACGGTGGAGCTCCGCCTGACGGATAACTTCATCACTGTCATCCGCCGGAAGGACTTCTCCAACATGACTAGCCTGGTCCACCTCACCCTCTCCCGCAACACCATTAGCCAAATCCTGCCCTATGCCTTTGCCGACTTGCGGGGCTTACGGGCCCTACACCTGGACAACAACCGTCTCCTCCTGATCGGGCCTGACCAACTCAAAGGGTTGCCCAATTTACGCCATCTCATCCTGAGTAACAACCAGCTGCAGGACATCTCCCCGGGAGCTTTCGATGACTTTGCCGGCACCTTGGAGGACTTAGACCTCTCCTACAACAACCTGGTGCAGGTCCCTTGGGACACCATCCGCCGTCTCAACAATGTCAACTCCCTCAACCTTGACCACAACTTGATAGATTATGTCCCCGAAGGAGTCTTTACCAACCTTCTCAAGCTGGCCCGCTTGGACATGACTTCCAATAAGCTGAAGAAGATCCCTCCCGATCCCCTCTTCCTCCGGATCCCTGTCTATGCTAAATCTAAAGGCTCCCCGCTCTCTTCGTTGGTCCTCAGTTTCGGAGGGAATCCATTGCACTGCAATTGTGAGTTGTTGTGGCTACGGAGGCTCACCAGAGAAGATGACCTGGAGACCTGTGCTTCTCCACCAGACCTCCTGGGGAAATACTTTTGGACTATCCCTGAGGAGGAGTTTATATGTGAGACTCCATTCATCACCCGCCATACGGGGCCATTAGTAGTGATGGAAGGGGAAGGAGCAGTCCTTCGCTGCCGTGGGGTGGGTGACCCTGAGCCTTCTATCCACTGGGTCTCCCGGGAAGGCAAAGTCATAGCCAACACTTCCCGCACCATCTCCTATGACAATGGCACCTTGGAGATTCTCATTTCCACCGTCCAGGACACCGGGAACTTTACCTGTATTGCCTCCAATGCCGCTGGAGAAGCCACCACCACCGTTGAGCTGCTGGTCAACCCATTGCCTCAACTCTCCAATGGCACTTCTTCCAAGGTGCCTGAGGCTGCAGGGCCCTCGGACATCCTTACTTCGGCCAAGGCAGCCCTTCCTGTGAGTGCCAATGAAACGGGGGCCTCTCCGGACAAAGGGGTAGCGGCTTCTGAGGTCTCCTCTTCCTCGGTGCTGATCCACTGGTACCCTCAGTGGCATGTTCCTGGCATCCGGATGTACCAGATCCAGTACAACAGCTCCTCAGATGACATCCTAGTCTACAGGTGAGTTTCTTTGGGGTTCAGAATGGAAAACTGTTGAGAGAGTCCCGTGGGCATTTGGCCAAAGAAGAGGTTGGTAGTCATTGTTGGGCCACAAACCAAGGATTGGGAAGGTTTTCACTCTCAGACCAGGGGTCAGAATTCTATTAGTGGATGATGGGCATGTAACTCTGGGTATTAGAAAGCCAGGGGACATTGCCTTTAACTGCCTCATACCCTCCCACTCTACTTGGCAATGCGATTTAAAAGAAAAACTTTTAAAAAGGAAGGATAATTAATGCAAAGCAAAGGGAATCGTGCCAGCGATTTGCATGATTTTATGCGGGTCTCTATATCCAGCCTCATCTTGTTGCCGAATCTAGGTTACCTTGGTGTGGAATTTTGTCTCTTTCCTTTCAAAATGCTAAATGCCACACCAGAATGCCAAGGGATGGTCTTATCTGCACTACAGAAATAATGCAGTTTAATACTGCTTTAATTGCCATGGGTCAGTGGCATGGAATCTTGGAGTCTGTGGTCTGGTGAGATCTTTAGCCTTCTCTGTTGGAAGCGCTCTGGTGCCACAACAAACTACAAATCCCAGGCTTTCATAGCATTGAGCCATGGCAGTTACAGATTAGACAGATGTCAGATAGACACCCTCCGGGCCAGCATTTGGAAATCTGGCCCTCCCCTGGCACAGAATCAAAATCATAAAATTGTTGAGTTGGAAAAGTCAGCAAAGATAATTTAGTCCATCCCTCTTGCCATGTAGCATGCCTGAAAGATGGCCACCCAACCTTTACTTAAAGACCTCCAAAGAGCGTGAATCCACTACTCTCCCAGGCAGTCCATGAATGGTTAAACAGCCCATACCCTAAAGAGGTCTTTGTAATTTGAATCCCTTCATTCAACTACAACTCCTATCATCCCTGGCCAGCATTGCACTGACTGGGTTTATTGCAATTGTAGCCCAGAAGGTGAGAGGTTGACATCCCAGGACACAGTTGCTTCCAACGAAACCTATGCTTTTGCACCTTTGTTGGGCTAGGACTCTGTGACTGTGTAGCCAGCATGCCGTAGTGGTTTGAGTTTTGGACTAGGACTCTGGAGACCAGGGTTCGATTCCCAAGCATAAAAGCATAAAAACCTTCCGGGTGATCTTGGGCAAGACACACTCTCTCAGCCTCAGAGGATAGGAATGGCAAACCCCTTCTGAAGAAACTTGTCAAGAAAACCCTATGATAGGGTTGCCATAAGTCAAACATGACTTGGAGGCACACAACAACAATTCTAATCTAGGGATGGGGAAAGGGTGGTGCATGGACCACATGCAACTTTTGACCTAGGGACGGAAAGAATATTTGATAATATTTGAAAATATATATATATTTTAAACCCTGTTTCTTGAGTCTCAGGAAACCCTGAGAACACAAGGGCTGAGGATCTTTGCAGCACAGGATCTATTCAGTGTACAATTTTCATCTTTTTGCTGCAAGAAACAGGATTTTCTGCGCAGAAATATTGTTTTCTGTGCAGAAAATGCTATTTCTCATGCATAAAGTTTGTCTGAAAAATGTCCACAGAGTATGAAAGATATGCACAAATGGGGCAGTGGGACGCTAACACCCCTTTAAAAGTATATTTCTGGCCATTGTTGTTGTGTGTCTTCAAGTCATTTCCAACTTATGGCGACACTAAGGCGGAAACTTATTGTGGGGTTTTCTGGGGTTGAGAGTGTGTGACTTGCCCAAGGTCACCCAATGGTTTGCATGACCGAGCAGGGATTCAAATCTTGGTCTCTAGAGTGGTAGTCCAATGCTCACACCTCTATACCACGCTGGGTCTCTAAGCAAATAAAAAATGGCCAGAAATTTAAAAAGGATAAATTGTGTCCTTCAATGTGCCGCAGCACCCATTGCTTCCCCTTGTTCTAATGGATTTATTTCCATTTCTCCTTTCTTCCAAGTATCCAAGGTGTCTTCCAATGATGAAGTTAAAAACAACTGCATTTTATGAATAAACATTAAAACGAATTATCACCATGACTAGAACAGATACTATATTAATGCAAATGGAAGTGGCAGAGGAAAACATATTTAGTAAAAATGAGACAGGATTCATAATGAGTATTGATAATAATGCCACTCTTAAAACACATGCATCTGTAATTGAAATAGGATTTGGTCTTTCCTCCTCTCCATAAGGGAAGGTTATGTTGATTTTTGGGAGTGGGGATGCATGCATTTCATTTCATTCTGCTTTAATTATGTTCAGTTTGTTTACCTGGTTGAAATGGTTCTCTAATGCTTTAAAAATTGCTTTTACCGACTGTTAGGGTTGCCAGATGACTCTCCAGTCGTCGTCGTTGTTGTTATTGTGTGCATTCAAGTCATTTCCGACTTATGCCGACCCTAAGGCAATCTCATCCTGGGGTTTTCTTGGCAAGATTTGTCCAGATGAGGTTTGCCATCGCCTTCCCCTGAGGCTGAGAGAATGTGACTTGCCAAAAGTTACTCATTGGATTTTATGGCCAAGATGGGAATCGAACCCTGGTCTCCAGAATTGTAGTCCAACACTCAAACCACTATGCTACACTGGCTCTCCTCCAGGTGGGAGATGGAGGTGCAAATTCTCCAGTTTTGGGGGGGCACAGTGCAAATCTCCAACTCATCCGGAAGAGTTCCAACTTGTTGCACTTTGCAAAGCTTAATTGATTTGTTGCTGCAACTTGCAAAGACTCAGCAAGGGGATGGGGGGGGGAGTCTATGGCTGCATCTGCACTGCACAAATGATCCAGTTTGATCCCACTTTAAGTGCCATGACTCAATGCAATGGGATTCTGGGAACTGGAGTTTTATGAGACTTTTAGCCTTCTCTGTCAGAGAGCTCTGGTGCCACAACAAACTGCAGTTTTCAGAATTCCATAGCATTGAACCATGGCAATTAAAGTTGGGACAGACTGGATTATTTCTTCAGTGTGGATGCACCCAATGTTATTTTCCTTTCCCATTGCTGTAGCACCAGGACTCACCCTCTGCTCTGCCCTACATCCACTTTCTGGCTACAAGCAAGTAGCCTAAGCAAAGTGTTCCCTATCTTGTCTTCCTAGGTAAAGGTGTGCCTACACTTTAGAAATAATGCCATTTGACCCCACTTTGACTGCCACGGCTCCATCCTCCAGAATCGTGGGATTTGTAGTTTTGTGAGCCACCATCACTCCTTGGCAGAGAAGGTGGAAGACCTTTTAAAAACTACAAATCCCAGGATTCCGTAGGATGGAGCCACAGTACTTAAAGTGCATTATAAATAAGTGAAAACCAGTAATACCTTCATTTCATCTTGATCTGGGAACAGCCTCTTTAGCTAGGATTTCTCTGTTAATTTCCAAAAAGGAAAATATTCTCTCTCTCTCTCTCTTTCTGTCTGTCTCCATCTCCATCCTTCCTTCCATCCCCCTCTTTCTGTGTGAATATCAAGCTGTGAGCAACTGTGGTTGGCACTTAGTGAATAACACTGGTTGCTTTTGCCTGAGACGACTGGGAAGGGCCAGTGTGGCTTAGTGGTTGGAGGGTTGGACTAGGACTTTGGAGACCCGGGTTCGAATCCCGGCTCAGCCATATATAAACCCACCTGGGTGACCATGGGCAAGTCCCACTCTCTCAGCTTCAGAGGATGACAATGGCAAAGCCCCTCTGAAGAAGCTTGCCACGGAAACCCCATTGCCTTAGTGTTGCCATAAGTTGGAAACGCCTTGAAGGCACACAATAACAACCACAACCTGGGAAGGGCCAGAATCTGCCTTTCTTCTTCTTCTTCTTCTTCTTCTTTCTTCTCCTCCTCTCTCCCCTGCTGAGTTAATGGAGTGCAAAGTGCTTTAATGCTTTGGATCACATAGTACGGTAATTCTTCTATTAAAAGTGCCTTAAAAGTGCAAAGTCCGAAAGTGGCCAGGTACCCTCCCTGGAGATGCCAAGGGGTCTGAGTCATCTCAGGCAATTTGCAAAAGGCCTAGTTTTGCAGAAAGAGGGAAATAACTGTTTGCAGGGAGAAGAGATTAACTTTTTTAATAGGGAAAAAGGAAAGGTAGAAAAGGTTGGAGACCTTGGAGGGGAAGAGATCCAGCTGAGCCGGAAGGAAGGAACTTGTCCTTAGGACACCTGAGGAACATCATGTTCCCAAAGCCAGCCAAGAGTGTGGGTCGAAAGAGGTGTGTGAACAAGAGCAGACTCCTCTTGGGTTCCTGCCAGCCAGCATTAATGAAGAAAGCGGCATCCTTTTGTGGAGTCGGGCAGAGCAGGGAAATGCGAGGAATCGCTTTGGTTTTTATTGGGGGGGGGGGAATAAAAAGCAGAGAGAGTCCTTCTACATCAGAATGCTTCAAGAGAAAGGAAAGATGGGGCGCTGCCTTCTGTTGCAAAAGCTTGTCATCATCATAGTTTTTTGTGGGGTTTTTGGGCTGTGTGGCCATATTCTAGAAGAGTTTCGTTCTGACGTTTTGCCAGCATCTGTGGCTGGCATCTTCAGAGAAAAAAGGGTGTTGTGTTGTTGTTTTTTAAATTCAAAATTGGAAGTGTACTTCTGATTTGCTTTGGTTTTGGGGGATTTGTGGCCATTTATGTGGCCCCTGGAGGTCTCTGAGGTTAGATAAATGGATGCCACTGTTGCCCAGCCTTGCTATCAAGGGTGTCTTTGGAGTGAGTCTCCTCTCCTCTCCTTGCATTTGCATTTGGCAAGACAGAAATCTCAAGGTGGCTTCTGTTCATGTGCCTATTGCAACACACACACACACACAAACCAAAGCATATACACAACCAAGATGGTTCTGCTCAAGTTCCTTGTGGTAAGTAGGTCATTTAACATGAGCAGTTTCTTTCCGGCCAGGCAGGCAAGCCGGCTAGTTCTGGGCCGGGTGCCAGGGTGCCAGGGCATTCCCAGGGGAGGCATCCCGACAGCCTGGCTCTGCGTCTTTAGAAAGGAGAAAAGCAATTCAGCCTCTTGGAGCAAGGAAGCAGGGAAGGAACAGCTACTCAGAAGTGGAGAAGAGCGGAAGAAGGCAGCAGGCAGGGGGAAAGCCCGGTGGGTTATTAGTACAAGATCCACCCCAAACCTTGGCAAAGGCACCAAACCCTGGCAAAGAGACAGACACTCCTTTTCAGTTCCTCCTCTTTCTCTCTCTCTGACCTCTCTCTTCTGGCGTCACCTTCCCCTGTTCTACTAATTGAAAGGCAACTGGATGTTTCCTTGACTGCATTCTGATGTTCTTTGGCTGCATGTGCCTTTGCTTTCATTGGTGAAATGTTGGAGTGAATGGTAAAAAAATGGCTGCCAAGGGGCTGGAGAACATGCCAGCTTTGCCTCACACATCTTGTCTGTGATTACAGGAAAGGTGTATTCCCCTGCTCCAGTCCTCCTGCAAGAAATAACAATGTCACCCATTAGTCTAAAACTGCAAATGTCATTGCATTTTCATAAAAAAAACCTAACAACATTGCCCTTTGTTTTCCTAGCAAACAGGGTGTTACAAGTATTGGTCATTACTGCAGAACATTACTTTCAAACTGCATGACTGATTTATTATTGTTTTTGTTGTGCTGGATTAAAATCTACATCCTCAGGGCTATCTGAGGAAGTGGACTATAATTCACAAATGCTTATGCAATGAAATATTTATTAGCTGCCGTGAAACTTTATGGTGTTCAGGAGCATTGACTGGAGTGGCTTAAGGTCTCAGTTTTGCAGGGACCTAGAGCAAATGGTTGCAAAGCAACTTGCAGTACTATGAACTAGATGCCTGAGGTGACAAGATGTCTTCAATGAGGCCTGGAAGATAGGTGCTCAGGTTGCATGCCCTCCACCTCTCCTTATTTGTTGATTAATGCTCTGCCTTCCTACCTTTTCAGATGCTTTTAAAATGTCCCAGTTTCTCTCTCCCTTGCCCACTTCCCTCCTTGGTCCTCAGCTTATTTCCATTTTTGGAAACTGAGTTCAAAGTGCAAAAGTAGTTTGCAGATTCTTAACTCAGCAGAGGGAGAGGAGACAAGGATCTTGTCATTCCCAGTCAGCTCAGGCAAAAGCAATCCCCTGCAGCCTCTTCTATTTGTGTGTTCATCCTCATTCATAGCTTTGGCTCTCTTAACCACCCTCTGATATTATTGCCAGTTTTCCTCTGTAAAATGTTGGTGAGCATGAGGTGGCAAGTCATGGGGAAGAGTTTAAGGAAAACAAAGGTGGTGTAGAGTATCTCTGGAATCATGAAGGGCTATTGCTTAGTGGTAGACAATAGTTGGCCCTCCATATCCATGGATTCAATCATCCATGGCTTGAAAATATTAAAATATATAAAAATTCCTAAGTGCAAACCTTGATTTTGCCATTTTATATAAGGGACACCATTTCACGATGCCATTGTGTTTAATGAGAGTTGAGCATCCGTGGATTTTAGTATCCATGGGGTGGTCCTGGAACCAAGATCCAGCAGATACCAAGGGCCCACTGTATTTGCTTTGTAACAAGATGGTCTCAGGTTCGGTCTCTGGTGTAGCCATTGAAAAGATTTGAAGATGGAAAAGGCTGGGTGATGCTTGAATTATAATTGTTAGTTTCTGGATTCTGGGAGCTATAGTCCTGAAAATCATTTCCTCTACCTCTGCCATAAACTCTCCTGTCTGGAAAGCCACTGCTAGTCAGTTTAGGGACCAGATTGAGTGAGGTGGACCAAGGATCTGACTCCATTGAAACTTTGAGATGTTCACTATGTCCTTTCTTCTGTCTTCTTCTCAGAATGATCCCTCCGACCAGCAAAGCCTTCTTGGTGAAGGACTTGGCCTCCGGGCGGGATTACCATCTGTGCGTCTTGGCCGTCTACGACGATGGAGTGACGTCCCTTACGGCCACAAGGAGTCTCGGCTGCACCCAGTTCAGCACCCCGCAGGATGGGCTTCAGTGCCACTCTCTCCACACCCAATTCCTGGGGGGCACCATGATCATCATCATCGGGGGCATCATTGTGGCCTCCGTCCTGGTCTTCATCATCATCCTCATGATCCGGTACAAGGTCTACAGTGGCCAAGATGAGCACAAGAAAGCCAAAGTCAACAACGTCTATTCTCAGACCAACGGCAACCAGCCTCCGTCGGCCACTGCCATGCCCTGCTCAGCCTCCAGACCTGAGGGGTGGGGAGTGGACAGCTCAGCGGTGGTGAGGGTCAGGAGGGACTGCAGTGTCCTTGCACTGAGCAAGGACTGCGAGAAAGGTTCATGGACCCAACCTCCAGATACGGGGCCTGAAGAAGCACCATCTCCTCGAAGGAGGAGATGGTCGCGGACTAACGTAGACTTCCATAACAGTTGTTCTGGCCCCAGCCCTGAAACCTCCAGAGCAGAAGAGCAAGGTAAGCAACTGGGCAGAGTGCCTCCATCTCCATCTCCTCCTCCTATCTCCTCTTTCTCCCAACATTGGACTCAAGATGGCTTCTTCTTGTTGTGTGCCTTCAAGTCATTTCTGACTTATGGCACTTTAGGCACATTCATACATCCTCCACAAACCTCTAGAGAACCAGTCTGTTGTAGTGGTTTTGAATGTTGGACTAGGGCTCTGGGAGAGCAGGGTTCAAATCCCTGTTCAGCCATGGTAAGAGAATGGATAACTTTGAGCAAATCCCGCTTCTTTGCATGAGAGAAAGGCAATGGCAAACCCCATCTGAAGAAGAATCTTGCTAAGAAAACACTGTGATCGCTTTGTCCTAAGTTGGAAACAGCTTGAAGGCATGCAACAATGAACAACGACCAATCCCCTAATCACTTTTTAACCCTGGTGGATAAATAAAGAAATGGAGGAAGGGGAAGGGAAACCACCTAAACCAGGGGTAGGCAACCTTTCCCCTTTAAGGGCCGAGGGACTTCAGCTCCCAGAATCCCAGGAGCTATTGGCCAACATGGGACTATTGGCCAACATGGCTGAGGCTTCTGGGACCTGAAGTCCCTCGGCCCTTAAAGGGAAAAGGTTGCGTACCCCTGACCTAAACCCTTATCCTTTGTCTCACCCCTCCCCTGCCCTTCCTTTTTGGGCTTTGTGTTATTTGCCACCAAGTCAGCTTCAACTCATGATAACCCCATGAATGAGAAACCTTCAGGAAACCTGGTCACCCCCAGTTCTGCTCAGGTCTTGCAAACTCAGGGTAGCCTCAATCAAATCAACCGCCGCTGTCCTTAGGTCTTCCTCTTTTCCAACTGCCTTCCACTTTATCCAGTGTTGTCCTCTTTTCCAGTGAATCATGACGTCTCATGATACTTCCAAAATACAACAGCCTCCATTGAGTCATTTTGGCTTCTAGGGAGATCTTGAAGGCTTGATCCTTCAAGGGATGGTGACCCCTCAAGACCTTTCCTAACCACCCTTTTGTCTTGGTTCTGCACAGATCCCCAGCTGATGCCCCCTGCTGGTGAGAGAAAGAATGGCAGCGAATGGACAGATGTCAAGATCTGAGCTCCGTTGAGGGGCCCACGGTGTGGGAACGAGGCATGGCTAGACAGGGACCCCAAGGTACGCAACTCTCTCCAAAATTCCAAAATTGCAGATAATTTTGGAAAAAACCAAGAAGGTTCTAGCCTGTACTTG